AGGATGCAGTGTTGACCCTTGGCCTTTTCAAGCTAAGGTCCTTTCAGGCTCTCTTTTTGAGTGATGCAACTGCCCATTTAATGAATAGGCCTGTTTAAAAAGTAAGTCAAAGGATGGCCTCTTTAATCAAAGAAAAAATAAATAAACTGGGAGGGGAAAACCCTCTGGGTTGCTGGCCAAAAGAGAAAGTTACTATTTACATTCACTCTGAGCCTGGTGGGCCCAAAAAATAATTAAGGCAGGGACCTATTGTTGTCCAATCCATGAGATCCAGAATGAATGGGGTTTAAGTCTTGGTTTTTGAGAAAGAAATCTATCCAGTAAACCTCAATTTACACCTTCAAGTAAGGGGAGAGGAGAGGAGAAGGAGAGGGAGGGGAGGGAGAGGAGTATATATGTAAGTATATATGTAAATATATGTATAAACATATATAAATGAACCCAAGATTTATATACTGACATCCTTGTTAGAAAAATTCTAACTCTACTAGTAATTTACTACTGTCTCCCCCCCAAAACAACAATAACAACAAAACACTTTTTTTTTTTTCTGGATCTGAGGTTTTTGGGTTTTTTTCCTAACTAAAGAATAAAGAACTTCAGAATCCATTCAGAAGAAAGTCAGCAGGCCCAACCTTTCAGCAGTTTATATCTCCTTTCCTTTACGATCCCAGCTCTGAATGTGGTGATTGCAACAGCAGTGGGGTGAGACAGTACAGAATTGTGGAACACAATACCAATACTATTGAGGTTTATTTAGGGGTGCTTGGACCCCGAAATAGCAACAGGCAGGTCCTGCCTGGAATGAATTTGACCCAAGCCTTCTTTCAGCCAAAGCCAAGGTTTATTAATGAGTGGTACGTGGGTACCAGTATCAGTGAAGACCCCTCAGGACATGATCCCCCTCCCCCTTTTTCTTTCCTTTAGTTATGTAAGCAGAAATTCCTGAACTATAGTGTATTCTGTTTATCTCATCCTCTAGCTACATGACTTTGGGTAGTAGACTGAAGTCATAAGGCCCCAAAAGGGGAACCTATTGTAGTTACTGTACTCCTTTGTTCTCTTTGTTGCTGGGGAAGATTTACTCGAATAGATTGTGCCCCTGAGGCTCAGCCAATGGGCCAAAGGGAGGGGGTTAGGGTGGGCTATTGCACTAGGGTCTATATAAACCTATTTTAAACAAATCACTCTTGCACTCTCTGGCTGACACCATTTTGGGCGACATGGGGGTGTCCTTTCTCGAGAAAGCCAATAAAGCAACTTTTCCTTTTTGCAATTTTTGTCAAGACTCTGATTCAAATTTGGGTGGGGGTCTTTTGTCCCATACATTAAAAAACTGATAGAGGGTGGGCATGATTCTAACAGTCTGACATGCTGGTCAGAGTCTTTAAGAATCTAAGCACTGGCTAGACTCTTAATGATTCTGAGCCATTGGCCAGATTTTAAGAATCTGAGCACTTTAATGACAGCCAAGTTGGATTTTATATTCAGAAAGACTGTGGGAGGGATCTAGGAGTGGCCAAGTGACTGGGAGAAGAGGTCTAAGGAGGATCTTGACGGGAGTGGCCAGTAGGCTGGAGTAACTGGGAGGTAAAATGGGGTCTAGATAGGATCAAGGGTGGGAAGTGGCCAGGGCTATTTGAAGATAACAGAAAATGGGAGGGCCAGGCAACAGAGAATTGGGAGATTGGGCCTAGGCCACAATGAAAGGCCAGTTGGGAGGATTATAGCCTCAGGCTAATGAGTCGAGGGTTTTTCCTTTTTGGGGTCCACATCCCAAAGACACAGTCTTTTCCTTTTAGGGGTTCAGATCTCATCCCCATCAATGCCAGAAGCTACAGAGCTACTGAAAGTATCTAACCTAAAGTGAGAAACATTTCCCCAAAACACCTAATAAAATGTAGTTTTAGGGTTGGACAGTTATGAATAGAGAATTTCAAAAAAATAAATCTGAAGGGAACCTAATAAAACCAATAAATTCCTAAGACATTTTGGTTAAAGTATATTTCATTTAATGAAACACCTTTAAGATGTTAACACTTTACATTGAACAGCCCACTATACAACCTTACAAAGGAATTCATGTCCCCATTAAGGCTACAGGAATGAACGTCACCAAAATTATTGGAAAACATTTTATAATAAATAATGCCAAGATTATTTCAAATAAATCATCAAAAGATAAACACAGTATTTTTGGTAAGGTATTTTGCACACAAGTACATTTAAAAAAACCCATTTTTATCAATGAGGCTTGCTGAGCAAATTTTCAGGTGGCACAAAGCTGAAATAGCAAAAACATGGGATGACTGTCAGGACCCAAAAAGATCTCAACAGTTTAGAAAAATTGGGCTGATTCAGGTAAGATTAAACTTTGAAAGGATTCATGTAAACTCTTATGTCTGGAATTAAGAAACTGACCTCACAAGTATAAAATGAAGTTCTTCTGAAAAAGATCTGGGGATTTTAGAAAAATGAGGTCAAAATAAGTCAGCAATGTGACAGATCAAGCAGGCTGATGCTGAATTCAGAGAGGTGCAGACCCCAAGGGGTAAGAAAAGGAAAGCGGTGGCTGTGGTCAGCCCACAAGCAGGTCAGGCCCGGCTCGGGCCACTGCATTTTAGGAAGCCATGGACGGGTCGCGGAGTGTCCAGAGTGCTGCAGCCAGAACTCGGAAGGGCCTACAGTCCTGAGAAGGCTCGGGCTTCTGGTACTTAGAGTCCTGTGAAAGGGCTGCAGGGAGCAGAGCTAGGACCGAGAGACAAACTTAAGCTTTTTATTGAACATTCCTATTCTAAAGACGTTAATCTAGGTTCCATAAAGAGGACAGAAAAGATTTAAGGGGCAAGATCTCCCATGGCAGGAGAACAGATAAACAATCCCTCCACCGCGCTTGCCAGACTTTACTGGGTAAATGGTGGGCAACGCTGCAGGGCTTCCTGGACGTCGGAGGTGCGGGCACTCCCTCCGGTGAAGCTTCCAGATCGCAGCGCAGCGCGCCTTCCTCTTCATCCCAGGCCTCTCTGGAGCCGTGTCCTGTCCCCGAGTCCTCCATCATCCCCCGGCTTCCTCCAGTGTGTGGGGTGGGGGTAGGGGTGGGGGTGGAGAGGGGAAGTGAGGGGCACCTCCTGCTGCGCCGCGGCTCGCCGGGTACCCACGCGTCCCTCGGCTCTGCATCCCGCAAGCTCCCCGCGAGGCTGGCCGCCTCCGCGCTCGCCCGGACGTCGCCTCTTACCCCCTCGCGGGGCGCGAGTTGGACTTGGTAAAGGGTTGCCTGGCATTATTTATAAAACACTTGTGCGCTCTTGGCTTTGGACGGAGCTGCAGTTAATTACACTTTTTAAAGGGGGAGGGGGGAAAGAAGAGGCGTGTGTAATTCAGTAGATGGCGAGAGAAAAGTCCTCCTCGAGGCTGCTGGAGAAAGCAGTATCCCTAAGACCGATCGTTTTCCGCCGGGAGCACCTTGCATACCGGCTATTTCAAGTCCGGGGGGCCAGCCGCGAAGACTAGGGCCACTGAGACAGGAAAGCAGCATGAGCACACCTCCGCTATAAAGTTAAAGGAAATCAGGAGAGCTCTCAGGCAGCGAGGCCTTCGATAGCTCAGTTGGTAGAGCGGAGGACTGTAGTGGAACTACTTCGGTTATCCTTAGGTCGCTGGTTCGATTCCGGCTCGAAGGACTTCCCGAAACTTTTCTTTCCCTATTATTTCTTAGCTGCTTAATTCACGTAATCATTTAATTAATCGGGTTAGTGTACCTCTTATTTCTTGGCTGCGTAATTAACGTAATTCATTAAATTAATCGGGCTAGTGTATATATGTGTTCGCATGCGTACCCGCCCCCGACATTTTTGCCCAAAAGAACCTGCATTTAACTGAGCAAAAGACGTGTAGGGCAGTGTCCCAGGATGAGCGCTGCATTATCTAGTGCGTGAAGGCCGATTCTGGCGGTATGCGCGGTTTGTGTCCTGATGGGTGGAGCCCTACTCCTGGGTTTGTATTTCTGCTAATTCTTCTGGTAGATTATTGTGTTTTCGTCCCACTAGCCAGCGAAAAACCTCGTTTCCTAGCAACTGAGCCGGGATGTTCCTCAGAGATCGCTAGGAGGGAGGGGTAAGCGGGCGGAGTGACTGGGTTCTCTACCCTAAGGAAAAGGGAAAACCAAGTAAAACGAGCGGGGGATTAGCTCAAATGGTAGAGCGCTCGCTTAGCATGCGAGAGGTAGCGGGATCGATGCCCGCATCCTCCAGCGAGTATTTTCCCCGCCCCCCCTTTCTCTGCACATGTGTGGGTTCCATCCCGACAATTCGAAGCAGACTTCAAAGCTTCATAACTAGTTTTGTCCTTATTCTCATATTATCGCGGTAATTATTGATAAAAAGCAGTTATTTTTCCATTCCGTTGCTCGATGCTCCAGTCTCTTTACAATTCCGCCCCAATGACTGTTAACCGCCTCCGGAGCAGGGGACGTGAATGGAATTATCTCGAGAGTTGGGTAGCTGCTAACCCCAAGACGTTACTTTGCCTGGGAACCTGGACCCCGGCGGCCACGAGGGGAGAAAAAGACCCCCCCCCCTCCGCTCCGACCAATGGCAGTGAGTGTTGCTGAGTGGGTGGCAGCTGCGCCCGCGGCCAATAGGCGGATGGCTTGTTGTCTCCTGGCAGAGCGGGGTCCCGGCGCCGCGGCAGTCCCGTTTTGTTTGGGTCGTGGGCGACGGGGCCCGGGCGCTGAGCCGGGGTTGGAGGCGCAGCCACGCTGACGGGAGGAGGAACGGGAGCGCCGGCCCCGAGAGAGGTGAGGGGCTCTTCGCGGCCGGGCTCCCGCACCCCAATTCAGTCCCCGGCCCCGCCCCCCTCTGCCTCTCTGGCCGGGAGCCCCCTCCTGGGATACCGCCCCGGCCCCGCCCCCGTCGCTCCGGCTGCTGCCGCTGCCCGCCCAGCCCCGGGTTTGGCCCGGAGCTAGGCTTCCGACCCCTCTTCCCGCGCCCGGGCCGGGCAGGTGGCAAGTCTAGCCCCCTGCCCCAAGCCCAGCGCCTGGACTGCTGTTCTCCACTCCTGCCCCTCGGTCCTTTGGGGAATTTGGTATGGGCTCGGGGCTTGCAACCCCTCCCTCAGCTGCCGGGCCCCCCGGGAGGGCAGCCCCGGCCCGGGCTCAGCCCCAGTGTCCCTGCTGGAGTTGAGGTGTAGAGCTGCTCGGTGATGTGGACGACCCCTGCCCCGCGTCCTCGTGCCTGGAATAAGCCTCCCTTGTTCTACCCTCTTTTCCACAATAGGTGGAATGGGAAGCTGGGCCCGGGAGGCTGCAGAAGTGTCTCTCCAGGTTAAGCTGATCCACGCGGGGGAGGGGGTGGGGGAGAGGGGGGAGGGTCTCCGAGGTGAAGCTTGTCTCCTCCCTCCAAGTGGCGCCCGACTTGGGCTGGGGGGGGGTCCTCCTCGGGGATGCCCCTCTATATATCGGAGCTGGGGTATCCTCCCTAGGCCGATCTTATTACACTGTGAAGACTTTGGGCGGGAAAGAGGCTCAGAGTCTGGTGTTGTCAGCATGGTTTATGGTTTAATCACGATATCCCCTCCCCGGGATAGAAGCCCCAGGGGCCTGAAGATCAGCATAACCAGTGCAGTAGCATAATGGGGTTAAGTCACAGCCCGAAGTCCAGAGTACATGGTGGCAGCTCCTTTTGGTGTTGTGTAGCAAATCTGCTTCCCGGTTTTCTTGAAGTACTGGAAAGCACCGTCAGAACCCTAGAGACTAACAAAGTCAGTTTTCACAGCTTGTCTTCTTCCCTCTCCTTCCCCTCCTTCCTTCCCTTTCCCCATCCCACCCCCCCTTAGCTCTCAGGGCCAGTCTGGGGCAGGAGGATGCTTACTCAGCCCCACCATGGAGCTGCGCTGTGGGGGACTGCTGTTCAGTTCCCGCTTTGACTCAGGGAACTTGGCCCATGTGGAGAAGGTGGATTCTGTGGCTAGTGAAGGGGAGGGGGGCGGGAGTGGGGGATCAGCCCCCACCACCGGCGGAATATCCTCCACCTCTGACTACGAATTCAACGTGTGGACACGGCCTGATTGTGCTGAAACAGAATATGAGAATGGGAACAGGTATGAAGCTGGGGTCAAGGGGAGGGAATATGCAGAAACCCAGCGCCATATTTCCTTTGGCCTTACTCTCCTACCTGTCCTCCCAGGGACCTACTTGGCTCTCCTCAGTTTCACAATGCCCTACTTCTCATCCCCATAGAACAGCCTTTTCCCATTCTTTCTACTAACCTGCCTTGCTCCATTCCTCTTGCTACCTCATGCCTCTCCCTTATAGACTTGTCTTTCCCTACTCTACCCCATTAGGTCATGGTTCTACTTCAGTGTCCGGGGAGGAGTTCCAGGAAAACTCATAAAGATCAACATCATGAACATGAACAAGCAAAGCAAACTGTACTCCCAGGGCATGGCACCCTTTGTGCGCACACTACCCACTAGACCTCGTTGGGAACGAATCCGTGACAGGCCTACCTTTGAGGTATAATTTCCACACAGAAGAAAGGACTGCATTGCTATAGACAAAAACTAAAAAGTGGGGTGCAAAGGTCCCTTGAGAGAAAGAAATCTGTCCCTAGTACAATGAATGAACTAGGAAGAAAGGACTCTACTTTATCCCTCTCCTTTAAACCCAAGCTACATCTGTAGCTTTTAATGGGTCTTTGATGCCAGTGTCTAGGAAGGCAATGAAAGGCCTGGTTGCTAAGGCAAGTAGCTACAGTGAGACAGGTGGCATATTCTCAACCCTGAAGCTGAGAAACTGGTTGCTGTTGCAGTGATGCTAAAGGGCTAGATGCTAATTCCGTGGGCTGAAAAGACAGAGTTAAGTATTTATGGGGGTAGTACCTGGTTGCCCTTTCCTCTTCTTCCTTTGTCCCCTTAGATGACAGAGACACAATTTGTGCTGTCCTTTGTGCACCGCTTCGTGGAGGGTCGTGGGGCCACCACCTTCTTCGCCTTCTGCTACCCCTTCTCCTACAGTGACTGCCAGGATCTGCTGAACCAGCTAGACCAGCGCTTCCTGGAGAACCATCCTTCTCTTAGCAGGTGATATATCCTGCCTTTTCTCCCTCCACAAAGTACTGGGACCAAACACTGCCTCTGCTTCTCCTGTGATTTGCCCTAAGAGCTCTCAATTGATACTTCTTCAGCCTTTTCTCTGTAGAGTTGTGTACTACCATTGGCTCCATTTGAGATGGGGAGCATCAGTTGCCTTGATCTCATCATGCCATTCCTACAATCTTGACCTCATATTTTCCTGCCTAGTTCAGACCTCCTATTGTCTTAGCCAAAGAAAAAGAAGACTAAATCCCTATTTTTTTCAGTCACTCAAACGAGTATTTATTCACTGACACCTATGAGCACAGCCTGAGAGAGAATCCCTATCTCTGAGAAGTCACAAACCAAAGAAAAGGCCAATGGCTATAAGTTCTTCCCACCTCTTTGCCCAGTGGCTAGAGAGATTCCTTTATGCCGGCATATGTGACTCTTTTTCTAAATTTTTGCCTTGCTCCACTTTTATGTTATTTTCTGTTTCTACTCTTTCATTAACTTTCTTACATTCAGTTTCTAAATTACAAAGGTGTAGGGTTTGGGACCAGGTAGTTTGTCTCCCTATCTCTGCTTTAATTCCCTTCTGCAAATGTAGGTTGTCCCTTCTCGAGACATTAGGGGACTCCCATGGCCTGATGACCCTTATCCTTGTAGTCCTTTAGATTCCATCTATTACCACCGAGAACTCCTTTGCAACTCTCTGGATGGACTTCGAGTAGATCTGCTGACTGTGAGTTCCTGTCATGGGCTTCGAGATGAAAGAGAACCCCGTCTGGAGCAGCTATTTCCTGACACCAGCACACCCCGGCCATTCTGTTTCTCAGGCAAGAGGGTGAGTGGGGAGGAAAGAAAGGGAAGAGGCTGGCTCTTCTCTGGCATTACAGGTGTCATGGCAGAGGCCAAGACACTTATGGGTGTTGGACCATGTATCTCTAGTCAGCTTCTCCAGTCTTAGTCTAGGGCATGAATGACAGTTCAGGCCCCTTGCTATCATAGCCCCAGTTAGGGCCTAGTTTGTGTCCTTTTTCTATTAGAATAGAACCAGAACTGACAGCTCTGATTATTGCTTTCCTTTTATCACAGATATTCTTCTTGAGTAGCAGAGTGCACCCTGGGGAGACACCATCTAGCTTTGTCTTCAATGGTTTTTTGGACTTTATCCTTCGACCTGATGACCCTCGTGCCCAGACCCTACGTCGTCTTTTTGTCTTTAAGCTAATTCCCATGTTGAACCCAGATGGTGTGGTACGGGGTCATTATCGGTAAGAATAACTCCCCCTTCACCTCTTCTGATCATCAGTAGTCCTCTTGATAAATGTTATGGTATCATGATGAGGTATAGTTTACCCTGTCCTGCTTTCACAACTCTCCTACATCCTAAAGAGGGAATGCCCTATTGGCCTGAAAAAGAATGCACTCTCCTGAATGTTTGGGGAGGACTGGGAAGGAAGACGAATGTAAGGTCACTTGGATGTGGAAAACTATTCCCAGACTCCAGTAATAATACAATGTATATTATGTTGATTTAACCACATACACCCTTCCAAAATACCTAGTACAATGCCAGCCATGCAAGGAAAGTTCAACAATGATTAAGTTGATAATACCAAGAATTGTAGAAGGTCTAGTTTTGTTCTCTACTTTCTGGAGCCTTGGGGTGAGGCTGTCTTCAATCCTTTCCCTTCCTTGACTTTTCTACTTAAGACTTACTCAAACTATAGGATAATCAGTTCCCTGTTTCCTACATCTTATGCCACTTACCCCAGTCTCTGTTTTCCCACTCCAGCTTTCCAGAACTCCACTTTACCCCTTGTTCCCACACAGGACAGACTCACGAGGAGTGAACTTGAATCGTCAGTATCTAAAGCCAGATGCAATCCTGCACCCAGCCATCTATGGGGCTAAGGCAGTGCTGCTCTACCACCATGTGCACTCGCGTCTGAATCCCCATACTCCCTCTGACCACCAGCCCAATCCCCAGCCCTCAGCCCCACCTGGTCTTCTTTCTGAACTTGAAAAAACCTACAATCTCCATAGTGAGGCTGACCTTGGACTCTCAGCTGAAGGGGACAGTCCTGAGTCCTGGAACCAAACTGAACCAGCAAGCCAGGACCCCAGTAGTTTGTGGTTTTTGGAATCAGAATCTAGTGAGGTGGAACCAGCCCCTGAAACCATTCCCCCCAAGGAGAGTGGTGTGGCCTACTATGTGGACTTACATGGACATGCCTCTAAAAGGGGATGTTTCATGTATGGAAATAGCTTCAGTGATGAGAGTGCCCAGGTAGGGACCTTGAAACTGGCCTGGGGTGGTATTCATTAGTAGGTAAAAGGTGGAAGTGGGGGGAGGGTGTGGGAGAGGGCACAGCAGTGTTAATGTATAGAATGTGAGCAGAAGGAAGAATAGCCATAGGCTTGTCACTCTAGGAAGGAAATTAGCCCTTGGGGGGCAGCTGGCAATCTGGAATTTCGGGGCATTTTTTAAATCAGGGTTTCAGTGCTAAGGGCCAGGCTTTTCAAAATTATTAAAGAAATCGGGCCTTTTCTAATGGGAGCCAAATGGAAGAAATTGAGGGAAGAGGGGACAGGAGAGAGTAGGAAAAAGGTCTGAAGGGAAAGAAATTATATTGTGTTAATTTAATCATACATACCTTTCTTAAACATCTACTAAAAAACCATGTACACAGTGAGAATTCAAGAATTATTAACCTGATACTGATAATTCTGATAGCAGGTGTTGATATTGAATGTAGTGACTTACTTCCTTCTCTTTCCCACTCCACGTTCTGAGCATGCTCTTCATCCCAAATAGGTGGAAAACATGCTATATCCAAAGCTCATCTCCATGAATTCAGCACACTTTGACTTCCAAGGCTGCAATTTCTCAGAGAAGAACATGTATGCGCGGGATCGTCGAGATGGCCAGTCTAAGGAGGGCAGTGGGCGAGTCGCCATCTACAAAGCCTCAGGGATCATCCACAGGTTAGGGGTGGACACTAGGAAAATAGGGCTTCAGCTTTTGGTTATTTTCTCTTAGGAATACCCATACTCAGCCTTGAGAAGGGGAATGGGGGAAACTATTGTGATAGCCCAAGGCATCTCAGAAGAAAGGCCTTCAGATAAAGACTCCTTGTCTCTGTGGATCAGCCTTCCACAGCTTAGCTTGAGGGTGGGTATAGTATTGGGGGTAGTTGCCAGCTCACTGGGAAATAGCCCTTAATCTTTACCTTGACCACTTTAGTATATTCAAGGTACATGTCATCGGTCCAGAGTAGTGATGTAAAGGTCTCTGTGTCTTAGCTACACACTTGAATGCAACTACAACACTGGACGCTCAGTAAACAGTATCCCTGCTGCCTGCCATGACAATGGGCGTGCCAGCCCCCCTCCCCCACCTGCCTTCCGATCCAGATACACTGTGGAACTCTTTGAACAGGTAATGAGCCATGGAGATAGAAGCAAAGGTATTGGGCAGGGTAGCCTCAAACCGAAGGTGGCCTACACCAGCGCTTCTTAAACTATGGGTCTCGACCACATATGGGGTCACAAAAAATTTGGTAGTAAAAAGTTTCTGAAGGAGCAACGACCAAAAATTAATTAAAAATCACACATGTAATGAATCCGAGGTGTCTCTGACTTGCCTGTGTTGCGTCTAACAACTTCATGGAAGCCCTGGTTCTGAACACAAAATATAATGCACTTTGCACTTCGAATGCCTTCAGGCCACGTAACTCAAACAAATGAGATCGAAATTCGATGAAAAAAGTTTAAGAAGCCCTGGCCTACACTAACTTCATTTGACTGAAGTCCTAAGGAGAGATCATACTGCCACTAGGGTGATATGGATGATGCCTGCCCTGCTTCCTCGTGCCTGGAATAAGCCGCCCCTGTTTTACCTTCTTTTCCACAATAGGTGAAATGGGAAGCTGGGCCTGGGAGGCTGCAGAAGTGTCTCTCCAGGTTAAGCTGATCCACGCGGGGGAGGGGGTGGGGGAGAGGGGGGAGGGTCTCCGAGGTGAAGCTTGTTAGATCCTCCCAAATAATGGAGAGTTGAGTACTCCCCAGCATTGCCAGTAGGGCTCCAATTGAATACCCCTTCCAATTTTGGGAGCATACTTTTGTCCAATACTTGTGAGGCTTAGATTTTTCTCCTTATCTCATACTACCTTGTGTTTCTGGGCCATTCCTTTCATCATACAAGGGCATGTATGTCTTTCCTGGCCTCATAGGAGGGGGGAATAGGGAAATAGGCTGAGGCACAGCTGAATAATTACAGCCATGGTGGGGAGGAGGGGAGAGCAAGAGTCTAGCTTGCAGGACTAGAACAGATGTTACTTGAGGTCAGCCCCTTCTGTTCTTGAAGTCTTGCAGTGCTTCTGACCTCAGTCTTTTCTGCCTAGGCTGTAGAGCCAGAAGTAGCTCTAGTTCTCAGGGACCTTGGGATACAGCCATTATTTCACAGTGGAACAGGGGAATAGGGGAAAAGAGCTTTGTTCCCTCCTATAATATATAGACCTTTCTACTCTAAGCCATTGAGGGTCACTAATCCCACAACAGAGAGTGCTTCCATCTGGCTTAATTCTTGAGATAGCAACTCATAAAAGCAATAGTATAAAAAGGAAAAAAAGGCAGAGAACTTCAAACTCAGCTTTGATAGGAGATACACTATGGCTGTAGAGGAGGGATAGTGACCTTCCCCTTAGCATATGTTACAACCAGAGTACTCTGAGGCACAGGATAAATTTGAGGGACCCAAATCAAGAATGTTTTGGTTATCTCTTTCTTCTCTACCAAGCATGGTATGAAGCTCTCAAATACCAAATTGTACTTGAACTCCCTTGGCAGGTAGGGCGGGCTGTGGCCATTGCAGCCCTGGACATGGCAGAATGCAATCCCTGGCCACGAATTGTCCTGTCAGAGCACAGCTGTCTCAACAACTTGAGAGCCTGGATGCTGAGACATGTTCGTAACAGCAGAGGTGTAGGTAACAGCCTTAATGTAGGCATCAACAAAAGGAGAGGCTCTCGAACCCCACCAAGAGGCCCCAAGTAAGGACAACAGGATGGGAGGAAAGGGTGGGAAAGTGGAAGTTACTTGGTTTAGAGATAAAATATGAGTTCTCAACTATCTCAAGAAATGTATGAAGTACTCAGAACACATTTAATTTTACAACTAATGTGTACCATAGGATGCTTCCAGGAGGGGGAAAGGGTGTCATGAATTCAAATCCACAATAACTCTTTGCTCAACAGATTGAGAATCCTTACTCTAGGGAAACAATAAACCAGACAAGGGAATAAGGGACTTCCCAGAAGGGTCGAGCTATCAACCTATCCCAGTGACAAGGAACATTTGCCACAGGAGGCTACTTGTAACTTCTTTAACAGTATGACCCAGATTGGGAAGATTACATAAAATGGGCTTGTTAGCTAATCAAGGGGCAGAGAATTTCTTTTTCCTCTCCCTAGTATTAGTGCCTGATGGTCCTTAATCCAAAAATGATTTCCATTTGATTCTTCTTTAGGGGAAGACATGGAGGCTGAATGACTTGGAACATGCCCACCCCAGCTCTCACCTGTTCTGTCTGCTTCCTCACAGTGGTTTGCCTATATCATGCTCTGAAAATACCCTAAGCCGGGCCCGAAGCTTCAGCACTGGTACCAGTGGCAGCAGCCAACAGAACTCTCCACAGATCAAAGCTTCACCCAGCTTTCCCTTTCATAGCAGTCGGTCCACAGGGCTACCTGGCCTGGGCCTTGGCACCCAGAAAAGCAGCCATCTGGTGCTGGGCCCCGTTAGAGGTAAGCTGATAAGGAAGTCCCTGGGGCAAGTGTTCCATTTTCTCTGGTGTTGCTGGGGGAAGAATTAGCCCTGAAGACTCCTTCTTGGGCCTGAGCCAAGGGGTAAACCAATAAAACCATTTACAGCAGAATCTGTAACCTCTCCTGAGACCTTGGTTTTCCTTGCAGAATGGGGGCCACAGATGGGACCTGTGGCCATGGGTAGGGGTCTTAGGCACTCTCTATCTAAAGAGCCCAAGGAACTATAGGGACCCAACACTTAGCGAAAATCAAACACGCCCTCTGACAAAAGGGAATGCTAGCTAACTGATAAATACTGAGACACATGATCTCTAAATCAACGGTTAGTATGCTGCTTTGTAGTCAGGATGAAAGCAGGCACTCTTTCCAAGTTGCAGCACTATGAAATAATAGCTGTATCCCAAGGTCCCTGAGAACTGGAGCTACTACTGGCTCTAGAGCCTAGGCAAAAAGACTGAGGTCAGAAGGCACTGCAAGACCCCCAGAAGAGAAAGGGCTGACCTCAAATAACATCTATTCTAGTCCTGCAAGCTAGACTCTTTCTCCTCCCTCCTCCCCACCGTGGCTATAATTATTCAGCTGTGCCTCAGTGCCCCCAAGTGTTGCCCATAAAAATAATGGGAGCTCTAAGCATTTTTCTTCTCAGAAAGAGGCTGGGCTATCCAGGAGGGAAAAAAGGAAGTCACTGAGAAGCAACAGGGTGTAGTGAGAAACAGTCCTGGGTTCAAAACCTGGCTCTGCCACTTTCTACGTAGGAAACTTTGGACATGTTACTTAACCATTCTACATTTATTTCCTCATCTGTAAAATGGTGTTGACATGTGTAACCTCTAAGATTTTTTACAGCTCTAAATATGATTTTATGATTCTGAGAGTAGCCTGAAAGAAGAAACAGGGAAATAATTTATACCCTTAGAAATAGGTTAGACTAAAGGTTGTTAAACTCTTTTGTGTGTCACAGACTCTTTATCAGCATAATAATGTTTTTAAATGCATAAAGCAAAATAGGACTTGCAGAGGAAACCAAGTGTTACTGAAATAGCACCAGGTTAAGAACCCTTGAATTAGACCATCAATCAGTGTCATGTGTGGCTTTTGGACGATTACAGCTGATGCACAATATGAAGGCTTCTGGGCTAGTGTTACTTTAAGTTCAGCTTAGGAAAGCTTTCTTTGCTCCTGAGAGGAATTCCTCCCTGGAGACTTCTTAGCACTCATTCTTCCTGTACCAGAGTGGTAGTGGATGGTCGTGGATTGTATAGTGGAAAGAGTTCCCACTACAGGGAATCTGGTCTTGGTTCTAATCCCAGCTTTGGCACTTAACTAATTGTGTGGCCTTGGGAAAGTTAATTAGATTTTCTGACCTGCTTTTTCATCTCTAAAATGGGCATAGTGTTGTGTTTTGTTTACTCTTCCATATCTACAGATGGCACCTGAAGAGTTTGTGCATGAGACCTAATACCTCCAGAGCTAGGCCCACTTGCTCCACTTCCCCCCCGGGATCCATAGTGTTATAGTAAAGGCTGATTGACCTGGCTTACAGTGTCATAGAAAGCTATCTGCCAAACTGCAGAGTGGCTGCTACCTAGGAAGAAGTAACCATGGGGCTGCCTTAGGCAAGGGAGAATTCACAAGGTTGCCATAGATCCAGGACAAAAACATGGAATCAGAGCTGAGGGAAGGAGCCTTCAGGAAGGGAACAGGCAGATTATACTAGAGAGGAGTTCAGCTAAAACTTACCCTCTGAACTTTTGGATGATACCAACCTATAAGTAAATTTGAGGGGAAGCTCCCAGTGTAGTAGAAAAAGCCCTGAATCTCTATGAAGCTTAATCATCTTCTCTATAAAATGGGGGTGAAGTGTAATGTAAAAAGTTTTGTAAAACTGAGGCTACTTTACAGTAAAACCTGGATCACTTAACAGAGGCCTCCATCACCTCCTGAGAGTGCTAGTGAAGCCCTGATGCAGGGTCTTGGTAACTTTAGCTTTTGTGGTATCCAGCACAAAAGCTGGTAAGAGCAGGGCTGGGGGTGTGGTGGGACATCCCTATAATCCTTAATGCACCTGGCAGCTTTTGATAGAGAGGCTAAACTGGGTTGAGGGGGCTCTTCCAGGTGGTGGGTAGAGGTTACATGAGGGAGAAAGCACTACTGTCACCACTGTTTCTGTTGTGACTTCAGATAAAAAGATATTGTTCTCCCAGAACAGAAATTTCATCTCATTATCCTAAAATGTCATTCCACAACCTTGGGGAACAAAGCTGTTCAAAATAGACCCTAGAACCCCAGCCCTCAACTACTTGTTACCAGGTCAGAAAGCTCTGGAAGTCCTGGTTTTCCTTTTCTATTTTCCATCCAGATAACAGTTGGGAAGGTTTCTAGTTTGTTTCATGGGCCAAATTATGAGAGGAACTAGGAATTGCGGTGTCATAGAAGAATGAAGGTCTGTAAGAGTCTTTTTTTTAAGGTATTAGTTGGAGGTGCTACCTTTAAGCTCCCCACATTTTGCCCTCCAGGAGCCTAGGCTCCTCTGTCATTCTGTCCTCAAGTTCGCATTATGGGGACAGAACAGGGATCAAGCAGCATGTGCTGATCAGTCAGTAAGCACCTAGCATATGCTTGGCAAAGTGGATACAAATATAAAAGCTTACATTCTATGTGGATTGGGGGGGGCGGGGGTTGAGAGATACAGTGCTCATAGAGATAAAATGCAGGATTATATTAATTACTCTTTGGAGCACTAACTGGGGTAATCAGAAAGAGCCTCTTTCAGGAGGTGGCCTTGGAGCTGGGGACTCCAAGAGGCAGAGGTAAGGAAGGAAAGCTGTTAGACAAGAGGCATCCCCCAATGGGGACAGACATGACACAGATGTCATGTCATTTATGAGGAATGGCACAGCTGGCTAGTTTGGACCAAAGTGGGTGAGAAATAGTACATGATCAGCCTAGGCACAGAGAGGTTGAAGCCAGATGATGAAGGGCATTCAGTGCTAAACAGAGTAGTTCATATTTTACTCTAAAGGCAACAGGAAGTCATTGGAGCTCCTTTGGTAGGGAAGTGACATGGGCAAACCTTTGCTAAAGATTTGAACCCAAGTGTTTCCTGCCTCCAGTGCTCTTTCTGCTCTGCTACCGAGCCTTGCCCCATTAGGACTCAAGTTTATAGAAAAGAAGTCAAGTTGTGGCTTAGGAACATACTGCTTAAATACTCCCAGCAACTTTAAAGGTTTTACACTCAAATGCCATTACCATATCCTAGCTCTACCACCTTCTCCTTGACTTTTGAGAAAAACCTTGGTCCTCATACTCATTTTTTTTTCACATTCATTTTTTAAGTTGTTTCTTGTTAGCTTTAATGATATAAGTGCTCAGTGCAGAGGCTTGTACATGTTTCCAGAAAAATTAATCCCTTTCAACTAGCACCTATTGTGTGGATGACTCAGATCTGTATTCTTTCTAGCTACTGACCATGTCCACTTGAATGAACACCCCAGTGACGTCCCTACTGTGTCCTGAAGAGAAATAGTAGAGTTTCCAGGATCCTGGCCTACTAGCATTTCTGAACCAATGACAGTGGACGGTGTTCAGGATCTTTAGGCTGTGGCCAAGAATCTCTGACTCCTGCCACATTTCACTGTTTCTATATACAGGGTCTATTTCCCAATGGAACTATGATTGGCCGTTGACTTACTGGTTACTCTACTTCCCATGATAGATATGGATTGGTATATTGCAGGCCCCAGCATCTCAGCAAATCAAATACCGTGGGCTCGAAAATGGTTATCATCTGAAATGTTTACTTTTTCCCTCTGGCCCACAGCTGAAAGATCACAGATTTAGAATTGGAAGGAATCTTAGAGGTTATGTAGTTAAAGCCTCTCAATCTCCCCCTTAATAAAAGGATTTGTTCTGTTTGGATCCAGTCATAAAGGGCCACACCTGAGGATCTAGAGGGCCTCGAGGCCGCAGGTTCCCCACCTGTGCATTAGGAGGTTTGGGGCCTTCTTATCATATGTGTGCAATTCGATGGGATCTGGAGCTCCTGCCATTGCTCCTCTGAATTCCTGGCCCTAAACATTTATCATCCAGTATCTCTTGCTGAATTCAAAGGGCTTGGCATCTAGCCTTCTGTCCTTACAGCTCTTGAATTCAATTTATCCTCAACACAATTTTGTGGATATAAACAGTTAATCCAACATGGCCAGGGTCTTGGGGTGTACCTGCTGCCCAAGTATGACAGAAGGCACATAGCATGTGTTATTTCCATGATATAAGCAACAAATACTGTGTTCACCAAAATTCTAGACTTTAAAATTCCCAGCTTTGACCATAGTAGGCAGCACTTGGACAAGCTGCCCAGAGTAGTTGTAGCAGATGCCCATAATCACAGCTGTAACCTGTGCAAAACTGAGTTCATTTCTTAGTTTAGTAGTGTGGTCTGGTGGGCAACCTACCAACTTGGCCAGCTTCTTCCAGCCCCATGAATGGAAGCCTCTGTGAGGATGTCATCTGGGAGCCAAACCTGCATTTCTTCTCTAACAGGATCTCAGGAAGGAAACCTCAGCAGTTGTCTAGTCCAACACATAACATACACCCACTGCCAACTTAAGACAACCTACTCCACTTCTGGGGCAGCACTGAGCTAAAATCCATTAATTTCTACCCCAAACTGCTAGTTCTCCCTTCTAAGATCAAGCAAACAAAAATGATGCCTCTTCCACAAGACAGCCCTCCAGGTTTACTCCACTCCTACTCCTAACACTGCTCTTCTCCAAGCTAAAAATCCCCAGTTCCTTCAACAAATACTTTAAGGTGTGGCCTGAATTCAGTTCTTTTACCATCCCAGTTGTCCTCCTCTGGATAGGACTGTTTGTAAATGACTCTCCTAAAAAGTGCCCAGAATTGAAGACTATTCTCTGGATATGATGCCTTTCAGTACAGCCTAAGATCATATTAGCTTTTTTGATATGCATTGTCTAATATCGAGATTGTTTACTAAACCCCATAGATCTCATCCAGGTGAACTGCTGTCTACACATGCCTCCTCTATCCTTGCTTTATGAAATTAGGCCTTTTTTTCCCCTCCAGACTCAAATGCAGCCCTTTAAATTCAGCCAGTCACTTCATTCTATCAAGTCAACTGGGATAGTGATGGACTTCAAGTGAAAAAGACCTGAATTCAAATTCTACCTCAGACAATAGCTGTGTGACCTTGGGCAAATCACTTAAATTTGCTCGATCTGTTTCCTCATCTACAAGATGAGGATAATGGTAGCACTTACTTCACATGGCTATTGAGTAGATCAAGTAAGATATTATATGCAAATCTTAGAGTGCTATATAAATGCTAGCTATTATTATTATTTGTATCCTGGTCCTGTTAATCATCTTTCCCAGCTTCACCTTGTTTGCAAATCTGGTAAATATACTACCCAAATTACTGATGAAAATGTAAATAGTATGGAGTTCATATATCACTAAAGGCCTCCCTCCAGAAAGATATCAAGCCATTAATGGTTATTCTTTAAATCCAGTCATTCAATCATATAAGACACCTAACTGTAATATCATCCAGCCCATACCTCTAAATATTTTCAATAAGAATAGCATGACACTCAGATATTTTGTGAAATCCAAATAAATTCTGTTGGTAGCATTCCCAATTTGTCAGTCTAGTAACTAGACTCTAGTTAGTTACCCTGCTGGAAATTTTAGTGGAGAAAAGCATATTTTTGATGAAACCATGCTGACTTAATATTAGATCACCATTTCCTTTTCTAGATGTTTAATAAATCATCCCTTTAACAATGTTATAGACAGAATACTGTCAGGAATAGAAATCAAACTCACAGGCCTCTAGTTTGTGGAACCCATTCTCTTCCTTTCTTTGTACAATTGAACCGTTTGCTTTTTACCAATCTTTCAAAAATCACTCATAGTGGCTTAGCAATAACATCTACCTAGGATGTAGCATACCCAAGACTGCCGACTTGAACTCACTCAGCATAGCTGGGATGAGCTTAGTATCTGTCTTGGTTTTTCAGCCCCTTTTAACATTTTTTTGTCCTGTCCTTTCCAGCACAAGAACCTTTGGCAGAGAAAAAAAATGCAAAGTTGAATATAATATGTTCTGTTATCTATCATCTGCCATTATTCCATCCACCCTAGGCAATAGTCCTAGCTCCTTCCTTCCCCCCCCATCTCCAATTTTTTTTTCCAGCTCTGTTGCCTCAGCTGATTCCGAACTTTACAGCTCCCACCTACCACGGCTGTTACAGGATCATGCCACCATGGTATTCATCCCTGCTTACAATTTCTATATATATATATATCTTTTTTATAATGTGGCCTAAGTGGGCCAGTGAATTTCCTGTGCATCTCCATGAGTCTCTATACAACCCCATTCTTCCCAATGGAACTATTTATTTTTGCATCTTCAGAATTTTATTCTTCAGGGTAGCCCTCCTGGGCTGACTTACCTTGATAAATTTTAAGCTTAAAGGATTCTACCTAACCTTTTTTTGAACCCTTTGAAATCTGCTCTCCAAAAATAGAATATACAGAGTAGCCTGGCTCCTTTATCAGTAATCTTACGGTCTCATTTCTTAAGTAATCTTAAGGTAGTCATTTCCCCCAAGGTTACTGTCTTTGTTGTTGGTCCGAATTATGTCAGAATAGCAGCTCCCCTTGTTTTTGCCATCTTCTGAAGGATGCAACTGGCATTTAGGTAAGCCAAGAATTTGTTAACTTTGTTTTTGCTAAAGAACCCATCAGATCTCTAGATAACTAAAGTCCCTTGTCACTACTTTATCTTGCCTTCATGCCAGAGTTGTGATCTACTTTCTAGTTTCTCATCTAAGTCAGAGGTTCTTAACTAGGGGTCTGTGAACTTTTTTAAAAATTATTTTGAAAGCTGTATTTTAATATAATTGGTTTCCTTTGTAATTCTATATATTTTATTTTATGAATTTAAAAACATTATTCTGAGAAGTCCTTGGGCTTCAGCAGAGTGCAAGAGTCTGACACAAAAAAGATTAAGAACACTTGATCTAGGTGATCTATTGTGGAACTCCACAACAATACCACTTGTGTTTCTTCCTTACTACATTTCCTAGTACAGTCACTCTCTGAAGCTTAGGAGCAAATACCTTGCAGAGCAAATACAATGTGGAAAGGAGCTCCACAGTGGCAGCAGCCTCCACTCCTCTTAGCAGTTGCCCAAGAGTCTCAACAATCCTTGCCACCTCAGAACAGACAACAGTCTAGAAAAATCGATTAGCGCAGGTCAGTACAAGCAATGTCAACTCTAGGGAGAACACAGATTAAGGCTGGCATCAGTGTTGACTTCCAGCTTGGCCAGCTATAGTTGCTGCATGTAATTTCTAAACCACTGCTGCTCTTTGGCCTTTCTGAGAAAGTACCAAGTGATAATTATCAGAACACAATCATAACCATGCATACTCAAGATCAGGCAATGCCTTCAAACTGTACTCCCCTTCCTCCATCCTAGAAGCCCACAAAGGCAAGAGCCCAGGAATAGATATTAAATCTATTAGGGAGAACAGAAATGGAATTTGGCTTTGCAATGGTCTAGGTAAAAGTTCTGCCATCTTTTGGTCAGTCCTGTTCCCCTATTCTCTACTGGGGAAACTAGCCCTGGATCCCCTCCTTGTGTGTGACAGATGCAGGGAGCACAACAGAGGAAAGAGAGGACTGCAGCAACACAGGAGGGAAGCACAGACAAGGTCATGGGCAGAGCTGGGTTACTACAGACTGGAAAATCCGAGCAGGTAAAAGAAGTAGGAACCAGGTTAGCTAAGGGTTTATGAGTTGGATGGGAAGTAACAATCAAATCTGATAAATATGCATAATCTTAAAGACCAAAACTCAATGGCAGGCTATAGGGAAGAGGGTCCTCAATGGGAGTGGTTGTCCAGGGGACCCTTTGGGATAAAAAGAGGGCTTGTGAGGTGAGGAGAAATAGTAAATGACAATCTTAAATTATCTCTGACTAGGTCACTGGATAGACTTTGGGAATAGTCATGGTCATGGTTTCTCCCAAAGACCAGGATGGAATAGACAAACCCTGGGTTCAGTTCTTAGCATTATACTTGTTTTCTCAACTAGAGAACAAAGTTAATTTTCTTTTGCTTTTGAATCTCTAATGTTTGTTAGAGATCCCCATCTGAGGGTTACTGTAGAAAAGGACAACAATATCCACAAAGCACAGGCCCCAACAAATCATCCAGTGAAGGAAGCAAGCCGGGCAGTGAAAAACACCCCCTACTGACTTGCCCTTTTATCCACTTCTGTCAACCTCTGCTCAGAGTCCCGGGGCCAGGACAGGAGACGTCGGCAGCAACCACTGACCAGTCGCCCTATCACAAGCAGCTTGGACTCACCCCCAACTCCTCCTAGTGCTGGCCCAGTCCCTTCAAGAAACATAGGCACTTGCTTACTGCCTACCTCACTTGGTATAGCAGGTCTGTACCTAATGCCACTGTTACATGTTCTATCCAACGTCCCCCCCATTCCTCCAGTCAGTAGCCCCAAAGTCAGTCTCATCTACAGAACTTTATACTTTTACCTCTGCTGCCACCTAGCCTGGCTTCCTGATTGATACAATATGGCTGATCTATCCCTTCAGTTTTACCCCTAGTCACAAGCCTGGAGTATTCTAATACCCCACATAAAACATTTATATCCTGTAACAAGAGATTGGAATTTTATAACATAAAACTTGAATTGTGTCTACTCACATACAGCCTTGTAAAAGGACTTTTTCCAAGTTGCCCAGGGATATCCACTTGAGGTTCCTGACCCCCAATCATTGTCATGGTCGGACACTGGAAAGCAGATAAGGGCAGCCTTTTGCAGGTGCCTTTTAATGTCTACTTCTACTTGGCTGGAACAATTATCTTTTCTCTTGGTGAATTCTATGTGACAGAGTACCTTCTGGGCAGCCATTCCCATGCCTATAGTGCTCATTTTATTGGTTTCCACCTTAGCTACCAGCTCGGATACCCTCTCCAGTCTTGGATTCTGACCTTATGTCTTAAGGTCTGACTTACATAATGACTAAAGGTAGAGGCCCTGGCATATCCATTTGGCAGTCAAGGCTGGGCAACTCCTTTAAATGGTATTTTGTAGCCAAATTCTAACTAGAACCAGATTAGGGCTCCATGTCCTCCCCAAGATATTAATTCAGCATCATTCTTTGGATGCTGTGATATAGTCCTTGAACCTTTTCAGCATGGTCCCATTCCAGTGATAATTTTCTTTCTTTTTTTTTTTTGCTTTTTGGTGAGGCAATTGGGGTTAAGTGACTTGAAGTGTCTGAGGCCGTATTTGAATGATATTTTTCTTTTAATCCCTAGGGAGTAGCTGCTCACTCCTGTCTGCAGGGGATAAACCAGAAACTGTCATGGTTATCGGGAAGGGGCTGCTGGGGAGTGGGTCTCGCACCCCCTGCATCAGGGCTCGACTGCAGGTAACACTGTGGCCTATCCCTGTTCCCAGCACAATTGCCCTAACAGTGCCCAGATCTAGTGGATTCTTCATTCTAGTAGTGGGAGGAAGAATGTCTAACGCTGGTCTATTGCTAAAGTGGGGAACTTATTTGAGGCATTCCCGATAAATCCATAGAAATCTACCTACCCCTCACAGCTAGCAACAATTCCCCAAACCATAATGTCAGTTTCTATAGCCTCATTCTTTCTGCCAATCACACCCCAACCTCAGCTTCCTAGCCTTGGCTTGTCTTGTCCTTGCCTTCAGCCTCTCCTCTCTTTCTGCCCAGAACTGCCCGAGGAGAGTTTCCGCCAGGAGGGGTCCCGGATTCCCCAGGTAACACCTCTGGTTTTTGCTCCAAGGAGCAGCCATGCCACCGACCCCAGGGTCAGACAAGGCCCCCAGGCTAGTGTTGAACCCCTTTGGGTTGGCAGAAGTGGGTATAAGCAAGACGTGATTGGGCGACTGAGAATAAACTCCCCTGGCAGGGGCTGAGGAGTAGAGGAACTCTGAGGGAGGTTTGCACATACCCTACTATTTCCCCATGGAGAGCTTTATTTGCTCATCCAGCCCCTTGCTATGGGAGGGCCACAGAGGCTCAAAACTGTGGGGCACCTGGACCCTTTTTGGCATCCCCACTCTGGGTAAGACCCTGGAAGGCATAATCTAGACTAAATAGACTCCTTTGCCCCAATCCCTTATTACCTGTCCCAGTTAGGGACAGTCCCCAGGAGTTCAAAGTCCTAGTTCCTTTGTGTTAATCCCCTACTCTACCACACTCCCTCCATGGAGATGCCAGAATCAAGTCCAGGAAGTGAGAAGCTCAGGGGAAGAGTCTAGCCCTCAGCACCACCCCCTATCCATACAGGCTAGGCCCGGGTTGGGCCGGGGCTCATCGCCGCCTGGCAGAGGGATGAGAGGCTCTTCGGGCCCCACATCCCCCATCCCCCGAACCAGGGACAGCTCTGAGCCAGAGCCAGGATCCTGCTCTGTTGCACCAGGGTAAGCACAAGTGTCCTAACCCTCTTCCACAGGAACCCCATTCCATGACCCTGACTTAGGTCATGTAATTTTCACCCTCATTCTTGCCCTTCTTCACAGCTTTCTCTCTTTACAAAGGATCTTAATTTCCCCAATTCCCTTTGTTACCTTAGGGTTCAAATGGACAATCCCACTGAAAATTTCAGCCTCCTTGACTTTCCTACCAAGGCATTACCTTTACCCTCACCAAGAAAACTTATAGCTCAGATTCCCCCTCCCCCATAGGAGAAAGGCCTTAGAACCTTGCTGCCCCCTCCTCCATCCCCAATCACAAGACTGTTATCCAAAGCTCAGATCCTTCTAGGCTGAGAGCAGAGAAGGGGCAGAATCCATCAGCCTGACTCCCCTCTTTTCTGTTACAGGCTGTACCTGGTTGGGCCCCCACGGCCCCACTCTGCCCCTGCCTCCTCACTTCTGTCCTGTTCCATCATTTGCTCCCAGCCCCCAACTTGTTACAGTGGGGAGACACTAGGACATCCTGAGGATTGTTCTATTATCAAGCCCCCCCAATCACTCAGTCTCCCAGCATACGATATTGCCCCTGACTCCATGGCAGGACATCCTTCCATGATTTTAGGGCACAGGAAATGCCCTAATCAGTTGCTTCTCCCACTGTAACAACCATAGCTCCTTAGAGAGTCAGCCTCATTGTTCCAGGCCCACTTTGGAGCAGGACAAAGGAGCAGGGACCTCCCAGCCCCATCCCTCCCTCCACAGCACAGGAATTTGGGACTATATATATATATATATTTTTTTTTATATTGGTGGGTTGGAAAGGGAATCAGCTCCTACACTGAGCCCTATTCAGCGGCAGATTTTTGCCTCTGGCTTGTTTCATAGGATAGGGAAGACTTTGAGGAAATAAAAGTTGTTTGGAAAAAACAAGAAGAAATGTTTGCTATTTTGAAAGGTGGACAGGATTGAACATAGTGTAAAGAGCCCCCCTACCACACACACTCCATCTAGCTTCAGACGTTATCAGGGGACCCTGGAAAAGAGGAGAGAATGTTGCTTCGGCAGCCCCCTTCCTGTGGAAGAAGGCCAGAGGGACAGACGTCTCCAAAGATTTCTCCCTCACCCAATTCCTGGACAGCCTTTTCTTCACGGCCAACCTGAAGACCCACACAGGGTGATCTGCGGCTCCTTACCCACTGTGCATAGAAACCATTCCAGCTCTTCCCCACTCCCATCTCCCAGTAAACAATCTCTGCCTCTTAACAAATGCCAGTTTAGCCTCAAAAGAGGAGGGGGATGTTTAATAGGGGCCCAAACCCCTCAGCCTTGGAGGAGCTGTTTCCCATTCTCTTCTCGGCTTTTGGTCGTGGTGGCAGGCGCCTCTGCGTCCCTCGAGGGCCGTTCCTGGGCTCAGGCTTGTGGCATCCTCAGCTCTGAGCAGGCAGGAGAGATGAGCAGGAAAACGCTCCCTCCACAGCGCAGAGCCATCTGGGAGACACAAGGGGAGGGCGCAGGTGAAGCCAGGGCTGGCCCGAGCAGGCTTTCTCCGCCGCCAGCTCCGGAGGGCAGGAGGGCATTACCTGCAGCGGGGCCGCGCCGCCTCACTCCTGTTTCTTGGGGTTATTGACCGCCACGTAGTGATAGAGGACCACGAGCAGGAAGAGCGACACGCCCAGCATGTTGGCGAAGATGGCCAGCTGCACGTCCGTGATCATCCTAGGGACAGAGCAGAGCCGGCGGGCCGGGCTCAACCACCGCCAACGGACGGGCCCTCTGGGCCGGGGCCGCCGGGCCGCCCGCGCCTCCGCCCCGCCGCCCCGCACAGTGAACCCGCCGCCGCCCCAGCCTCTCACTTGTTTCTCGGCGTTCCCACAGTGCTTGCAGAAAGGGAGCAGCTTTGCGGCGCCGGACCGGAACTACGAGGAGTCTGCGCACCCCAAAGGAAACGTGGCCGGCCGCGCGTGGCGAGCAGAGGAAATGGGCACTCTAGTCCCTCGCCCCGCCGCCTCGTATGCTCCCTAGGGCTCGGTTGGGCGGGCCAGAAACAGAAAGCCTCGTCAAAGATTTTGCGCATGCGCCAGCCCTCTGCCCCCCCCAACCCGCCAGACTTGCAGAGGGAGCTAATGCTTCGGCTTCGCGAGCCACTTGGGCTGGTTGTGTGAT